TCTCAGACAAAACAATTTCCTTTTATTTGTGCCGTTAAAGGACCAGTGTTTAGGATTTAGTGGCATCTAGCAATTAAGTTACAGATTGCAACTAACTGAACACCACTCACGTCTGTATCTGGTGACCTGGGAATACGAACGGGCTACTTAGTGTGTAGGAGAAACTACGCTGACCACGAAATTCCTTAAAAAACACGAAAGGCCTTATCTACAGCCAGTGTTTGGTTTGTCCGTTCTGGGCTACAGTGGAAACATGGCAGTTCCACATGGCGGATCAGCAGTGTCTGTAGATGAAAACGGCTCATTCTAAGACACAAAACACAACAATACCTATATTCAGGTGATTATAGACGAATGAAAACCTGCTTATGAATATCATATTCAATTTCTGGCGAGAGATCCTCCTAAATGTTACACACTGGACCTTTAAATTTGCTTCAGATATTTATGTTCCCCTCAGGATCTTCTGACTTTACACAAGATCATATTTTTAATTTGTACCTTACTGAACGACCACATACTTGCAAACTAATGACAGTGACGTCAGACTCAACAGGACTTTGTGTTTTATACAAATCAGCAAAAGTTAGCAGGTAGGTTTCTGCTCTGCGCATGTAATGGAAGTAACCACTGTACAAGCTTTGAATGACCCTGCAGAGTGAAAAAGTGGAACTAAATCATTCATTTTAATGATTTCTGAGAAGATGTAGTGGCTATGACCAATATTAACCTTCACTGTCCTGCAGAATGTGTTGACAGACTGCCTGTAGACTGCATAATAATAATAATAATGATAGTAATGTAGTCAAGGTTGCAATTACACTTTAACTGCATCTGTACTCATAAACGGTGTCACCACCTAGTGGCAGCACTGCTACCTTTATCAGAGCCCCTTCAGTTTATTTTCTGCACCTATCTGGCAGACTGACGCCCCCCTGTTATCACCTCACACTGTGAATCTTATACTGAAAAACAATACCAACGTGAAGAAAGAATATTGCTGCTTGATATCGAGGTTTTAAAGCTTCAGCAAGATAAACTGAAGATGCAGTTAATGGAAGAGTGAATATGTTTGTGTACTTGTAATAATAATAATACCTTAAAGTTTCTGGAATTGAGGTTTTAAGATGAATTTACTGAGAGTGCAGTGCTATATATCTTTTTGTCACATTTAAACAGTTTCATCTGCTAGTGCTGAACTGCTCGTTGTTATTGGGGTTTTAATTCAATAGAATATTTTATTTAATTATTGCATATGTATATGTCAATTGAATTGGGAGGGAGTTCAGATGTTTTCTTGTAATTCCTGAGTAATAAAAATAAATGAATAATAATAGACAAGATTATGGGGTATTTAATTTCTTTATGTAGGCTAACTGAATGGAGGGCCAGAGACTGAACATTTGCCATCTTCAGCATGAAGTGAGCGCTGTGCCGTCAGAAAGTTGCACTCTCACCGATGTAACATTTGCATCTCTTTTCTTTTATTGTTGCAAAAATGATCAATGTACCTGTGTCTTTGTGTCTCCTGACACTCAAATCATTGCCATAGAAACAAAGCTCTCACCTCATGGGGGAGCGTTGGCTAATTTCCCTACTTTAAGTTAAGTCAGTCTTAATATTTATGCAATAAACAGGCTTAACTAGTCTAACCTGATAATTTAAGACCCGTCTTAAATGTAGTGTATGCAACTGGACCCAGGTACAGTCTCTAAACTCACACACACACACACACACACACACACACACAGAATTTGTAGGTTTTTCACTGGCATCTCTGCTCTCCTTACTCACAGCACCATTCATCAACATTAAACAGGTGGGACACAAGTACACACTTCTCAACATTCCCAACCAGTCCACTTGATGACCTGCATGATACCTGCAGTGTACCAGATGCCATCAGGCCCCTGCTGCTTTAGGCCATGCCCAAATTTGCACAACATGCTGGTCAGAGATTTTTAACAAATTCTTCTACATATGTAAAGACTATTTTTAAAAAAACAGTAAAAAGCGTCCTGATCTGTATCCTGTTACTGCAATATTTGGAGTTGTCCCTAGCAACAGTGGTGTATCCAGTTATCAATCAGATCTAATAGCATTGTCAACATTACTAGCCTGCAGGCTTATTCTTCTTAGCTGGATTCGTGAGTGTCAATTCTCAAGCTAGAATAAATAACATTCACATTTCAGGGCTTGTTAAAAAAGTTCTAAAAAGTCAGGCACTTTTAAATTAATTTTAAAAAATGTGTTGCCCCTAGAGCTGGTGCCCCACATGCAGAGGCTGGGTGCTTGCTGCAGCAGCTGTGGGCTCGGGTCCAACCTGTGACCCCCTGCTGCGTGTCATCCCCCCCCCCTCTCTCCACCCCCCTCCTGTCTATCCTCAGCTGTCCTAAATAATAAAGTGAGAAAGCCCCCATATATACAATACATATATATAATAAGATTAGTAGCCCCCTACATTATTGCCCTCCTTTTATTCTTTTCTGTAGATTGTATTACCTACTTGCCTCCATTTGTTAATTCTGCCATTACAAATATATAGAATATTGCATCCATGTACAGCATTTATACAATTGTGCCCTTTTGATATCTATGGACATTTTGTTTTTTTCACAAAACACTCAATAAAAAACAACCTGAAAAAAATAAATACTTGAGGGAGGAAAAATAAGGACAGGAAGAAGATTTAAGGATCAAATGTTATTCTAGCTAAGAAAAAATAAGATTGAGAGGTAAAGCAAACACAGAGGAATCTCTACTGGAGCGGACTTCACCAGCCCCCAGAGGTTCTTCAGTGGCACTCACATGGCAATGACCCTGCCACCCTCCATAAAGCTCCAGTTTCTGCCTCCCTTGGACCCCCTGACGTTGAAATCTCGGAGGTAAGCATCTGTGTCTGAAAGTCCCGGGCAAGGTTTTTGAACAACTGGAAGAAGAGCTACTACTGTGTTACTATTTGAGTGAATTTATTCTATGAAAGACATTTGTCTTTTATACTTTGACAGATTTAAGTGTGACAGTGGCAACAGCAGTAACTTAAATGAGAGGAGTTAAACATACTCAGAGTAACTCTGCATATTTTCTGATATGCTAAAAAATGTAAAATACACACACACACACACACACACACACACACACAGGTGATTCACACTGAAATGATCAAAACACACAGTGAACAAGGCGAGGGTTTCACAGGGTTACTGATATGATACAACAATTTTGCTGTGTCAGTGTCAGATTAGAGGCCTTTATTGGGATCCAAAAGAGAAATTCAGAAGGTGATGAAAGTTGGGATGTGCAGAGCTGCATATTGAAGAGATGAAGCTGCCAACCTACAATGGACAATGAAAAGAGACTGTAAAGAGCACACTCTGCTACCTGCTCATTGTTAGCCGTACATGCTGTCGCCTTTATGGATGTGGATATAGTGTAATAAGCAGCGTCTTCTTCATTTAAGAGTGGGTGTTGCAACATTGGACACAGACTTACTGACACACACAGGGAAGGCACTGGAGGGGATTTGGACATCCTGTCCACCCCTCACTGTTCCACGCAGGAACAGGACGGAAAAACCGACGTGGCCGAGCACAACACGCACAAACACATGCATGCACAGAGCTTGGCGTCGACTAAGGTGAGCTATTCTCCCATTCTGGTTCTCAGTAAGATCCATCTGTTCATCCTGCACAAAGAAACACTTCTCCTTTGTCCCCATACAGTCTGAAAACTAACCTTTCCTGTCGGTGAAAAGACAAATACTCAAATTAATTAAATCTCTATAGGAAGAGTGAGAGTTTAAAGATAGACTGTATGTACTTGTGTGTATTTATCAAGGCAGATATGTGTGTGTGTGTGTGTGTGTGTGTGTGTGTGTGTGTGTGTGTGTGTGTGTGTGTGTGTGTGTGTGGTTGTTTTTGTGTTTCTGTGTGTGTGTGTGTGTGTGTGTGTGTGTGTGTGTGTGTGTGTGTGTGTGTGTGGGTAGTTTTTGTGTTTCTGTGTGTGTGTGTGTGTGTGTGTGTGTGTGTGTGTGTGTGTGTTTGGTTGTTTGTGTGTGTTTGTGTGTGTGTTTGTGTGTAGAAGGGTAGGCGGGTGCGGATGCAATTTTGTTCTGCTCTGTTTGGCAGTGCATCAGTGAACATTTCTCTGTTTTTCTATCTCCACCACTCTCCACGTTCGCCCATGTCTGTCCATCCTCTGAATCCCATCACACACACCCTCTATCTCTATTCCCTCTCTCACCCTGCCAGCTCCTTCTCGTACAATATCCCACTCTTCCGTCGTAGAGGTAGGGATGAGGTAATTGATGGGGAACAGCGGGACGCAGCACACAGCAGGAGCTAGGATCAATTCCCTCTCGAATCACTGAGTAATAAGTGAAACTACTTTTTTTTTCACTATAGGAAATGGAGCATTTGGTCTTAATTATTTCATTATGTATTTGACATAATCCCATTTAGGAGGAGAGTGGGTAGTCAGCCCTCTGCAGGCCATTTTGTTAGTTGTTTGTGACAGTAAATGAGACAGGGAAACAGAAAAATGGATTAGTGTCACAGAGCAGTGATTACATAGCCTACATGTATTTAGAAGAATCATATAATAAAGATGGCATTTAGACTGATGGAGGGAAAGATAGTCAAATCCAGTGGTGTGATAAGTGATGTGCATGTTGTTGGGGTGTGTTGTGGGAAGGCGAGAGATGGATGACTGAGTGGAAATTATACTTTCAGCTGGTCTGGGCAGTGTGTGTGTGTGTGTGTGTGTGTGTGTGTGTGTGTGTGTGTGTGTGTGTGTGTGTGTGTGTGTGATTGGCATTGTCTGGAGCCTATATTGCAATATAACAGTAAGAGGATTATACACCCACCATGCACACACACCTCTCTTTGCTGGCTAAACGCAACATGCACCCAAATAACCCCTGACATATAAACACCCCAGAGAGAGAGAGAGAGAGAGAGAGAGAGAGAGAGAGAGAGAGAGAGAGAGAGAGAGACACTCTTGGACATGATGTTCACACACATTAGCTGTGGTGTAAAATGGAGCATATTGACTTCCAGTGACAACAGACGCTGCTTAAATCCCCCTCTCGGCCCCATTCTACATCAGCTAGAGCAGGCTGAGGCTGGACACTGACGAGCATTTACTCGGGTGTGTGTGTCTCTCTCTGTGTGTGTGTGTGTGCGCTGACACTCTGATACCCAAACGCACTGTGCGTGTGCGCCGTACCGTGCCGTGCTTTGCCGCTCATCGCCTATGTAGGCAAAGGGAAAGGCTTAACGGACCGCAAGCAGGCAGGCAGGCAGGCAGCGACGAACCCGGCTCATTAAAATCTCGTCTGCAGACCCTCCGCCGGTCGCGCGCATTACTACAGCTCCTCGCGGTGCTGCTGGTTCCGCCGACGGACCCCAAAGCGCAGAGTGACACAGGCGCGCGCTAACGGTGTGGAGGAGAGGGCACCCGCTCGGTACAATATGGAACCGAACCCAAGCCGTTAAACGGTTCAGACACACACACACACACACACACACACACACACACACACACACACACACACACACAGCAGCTGTGAGGGGGAGGCCAAACGTTGGGGAGGGTAACGGCGACATGGCGGCAACCGGCAAGATCTGAACTTTGGAGGAGCCGCTGTGAGGATTATTGTACGGCCCCACAATCTGACCGGTACAGCGAGGAACGGGATCACAGTCTGCATCGGTGTGTCAGAGGGACAGTCCGAGGTATGGCGCGCGGTGACAGTCGTTTGGGGACCTGGCAGGTGCTACTGACCATCTCAATGGTCATCATCCCCCTGTCTGCTCACGGTAAGTCCACCACAGTCCCACCCTTATGCGTGTGTGTGTGTGTGTGTGTGTGTGCGTGTGTGTGCGCGAGAGAAAGCACGCACGTGCATGTATCAGATCACACCTGCATTGACATTAAATAGAAAAATGACAAAATACAGTTGTTCATTTATGCGGCACGAGGACGCAACTGTCATTTAAAGCGTGGACATTGGTGGTTAATATTCAGTACTCATGTTTTACTGTCAGCACTGAGTCTGAAGCCTATTGATAGTATTGATAGTATTGATAGTATTGATAGTATTGATGGGCTAATTTTGAATTCTGATTTGTGTGTGACATTTTAAATGCACTGATAATCAACTGCAATGTTTTGTGGATTTTTACGCTAATTTGTAACACTAAAAATTGCAGTCAAAAGACTAATCTAATGATATGAGCTAATATTTTTTTGTCTCTCGCGCTGTATTGATCATTAATGACACTTGACTGGCTGTGGCCATAGTCCAGCCAATGTCCGTTCAGAGTGTGAGGAGGGGGAATCTCTCCCTTCTTTTAACTATTTAATACAGCTAACATACTTTAATAATATTATAAACCCTAATATCGTAGGCTTTGATCTATATAAAGAAGAAGGATGGGCCTGTGGGGGGACAGAGACAGACAGAGACATTTGACAGTTCGGCACTGCAGCTGCGACTCGCCGCGGCGGTGCGTGGCCCAGACAAAGGCGGGATTAGGTGCACCGTGGCCAGGCTACAGGAGGCCTATTCACGGCGCTTAAAGGACTGAATTCCTCCAGACAGCCAGGGAGAACCCGAGACAACCCCCCGTCATCCCTCCTTCCCTCCTCCGCCTTCTCATTTACTGTCCATCCCTTGAGACACGGAGACCCGGCAGTGTGGGAACGAAAATCTCAGTCTGTCTGCTCTGCTCTGCCTGTCTGTCTGTCTGACACACACACACACACACACACACACACACACTGACAGTAGTGGAAATGTGTAAAATCTTGGAAATGTAGAAATGAGCTGCTGCCGCCGCCGCTGCCCAGCAACAGGGTGGCTCGTGCACAGCAGAGCAGCAGAGGGTCGCCGGGGTTCACGTGGGCACGCGCCGCCACTGTACAGCCCTCCCCTCCTTTCTCGCCGCATCTCGCGTCCTCAATGTGTAGCCAGGCGTTAACACTGTGACATATTGACCGGTAAATACACGCCCGGCGTCCCGTGTCTCGCACTTTTAAACCGCAGGGAGCGTGGCTGTCGATATATGGTTCATGTGAAGCATTGCTTAGGTGTAAAATGTTGGGTTTTTTTTCCCCCTCTCCTTCCCCTTAAACAGTAAAAAGACCGAGCTATTAAAAAAGGAAACGACAACATGAAACAGTGGAAAATATATCCCTTAATATTCTTTTAATGTCCCTATGAAGGCTTTTGAGGAATCTGACTCGGTAAACTATAATTACCACATTTTTCAGGCAAGTTCGACTCGTGCGTTTTGCCATTTGTGATAGGCTAATAAATGATCAACTAAAACTAGAGCTTCAACTTATTAGTTAGTTTAGAGGAATCGATTCATTGTTTGACCTATAGCCTAAATGTCAGACAATTGGAGGAAATGCACATTATAATTTCCTAAAGCTCAAGCTGACATTTTCAAAGAGCTTTATTGTCAAGTGATTATTTATATATAGCTATATATATGTATATATAGCCTTTAAAATCACACATCCCAAATTTACTTTAAAGACTGCAGCTCTAGGTTTATATAGAGCAATACAGATACATAAACTCTTTCCCTGATGGCTGTGTGAAGCAATATGGATGAAATCCAGACTCTCGGGTGCTCTGCCATGTGAGTGAATGAATGCGTACTGTGAGGTCCATCTGCCCTGTAGCCCCAGAAAGCTCATGATATGTCACAATAGATCAGATCATCAGCACATCCCTGACTCTCTCTTATTCACACACACACAAGAAGGAAGGAAGAATACTGTTAATAGTTTAGAGGAACTAAAATGCACACAGATTAATGGGTGGATGTTGCAGGTCTGTGTATTAACTGGCTGTAGTGGACAGAGTTCATAAGTGTCCACGAACAGGTTTAGGTACCTACCCATAATTCCCACTGTGTCCTCCTGGTAATGCTGGTGGGAATCTGCCCTGTAGCCAATCACAGTGACCTCAGGTAAAACGTGTTACCATGGTGACATGCTCAGCATGCCAGAGGTGAAGCGCGGAGCAGCAGTTAAAGGAACAAATCACACCATTTCTAAGACGGAAATCAAATTGCTAAGCAGGGGCTCGTGCTTTCAATTTGCCCGTCTTGCTCTTGTAATCTCTTCAAGTTCCCTTTTTGCTCTTGTAATCGCTGTAAGACTGCCAGCTGCTAACAGGATGCTGCATCTAAGTCTCGACAGGGAACAAATTGGCAGATTGAACCTTTAAATGAAATTTGAATCAGCTGTAATCAGTTTACACTGGTGGAGTATGTCTATCCCTTTCACAAACTGTGAACCGTTCGAGTTCATTTCACCTCAGTTTTCCCAGAGATGGAGTTGGCATATCAACGCTTACTGACTGGCTGGCTGATTGATTGAGAAACAAGAGAGAGAGAGCGAACACTGGATTCTCTGTTTCCACTGCAACTCCCTTGCTCCACTCCTCCTTTCAACATGGCACCTCTTTACATCTCACCATGGCAACTGCAGTGTGTGTGTGTGTCTGTGTGTGTGAGGTGAATCTCATGGTTTCTCAGCCACCACTAGTCTTCGTGACTCGAGGCACGTTCAGATGGTTTTAGTATTAGCTCTGAATGAAGTGCCAGACACTGAAAGCAGTGATCTCATTGGACACGGTGAGTTCGGGGTGGCAGTGGGAGAGAAGCCGTCCAGCCAAGTCTTTGGTTGAGTTTGGCCGTTTAGCGCAGATGTACCAGGCCAGTGGAAAAGTGTAAAGAAGTGGGTTCTTGAAATTCAGTCAACTGTGGGAATATTAACTCCAGTGCGAGAAAATACTCCTAAAACTGGGGTCTTCTTTCTTTCTTTCTTTCTTTCTTCCTTTCTTTCTTTCTTTCTTCATTGATATGAAGCTACCACGAGCAGCAGCCAGTTGGCTTAGTTTAGCAAAAAGACAGTTAGACCAGCTCTGACCAAAGGCGACAAAATCCAGCTACCAGCACCTCTAAAGTTCTGAAATTATCTTGAGAGGTGCTCGCAGGTGGATTTTGTTACCTTTGGACAGAGCCTAGGTGTTCCTCCCTGTTTCCAGTTTGTGCTAAGCTAAGCTAACCAGCTGTTTGTGGTATCTTCACATTAGCATACAAACACAAGAGTGGTGTCAATCTTCTCATTTCATTCCCAGCAAGGAAGCGAAGTGTATTTCCTAAAATGTTGAACTACTCCTTTAAAATCAGCGTATTCCACACTGTCTCACAGTATAATATTCTATAGCAGCTTCCAACTCTTTCCAACTTTTGATTGAAGCCATATGATGTTTACACTGAATCAGTCGAATACTCCAAACTCCATGTTTTTGTGGCTGCACAATTCCATCAAATGCAAATCTTTCCCAAACAAACCTGACAGGTTTGGTATTTCTGGAAACTTTGGCATCCCCACTTGCATTCAAAAGAGTTCTCTGTGTTTGAACAATGTCTGGACAGTGTGAGTTTGTAATGACTGGCCCATTGGTGGCCTGCTGCATGCTAATAGGTTTTAAGAGTTCCTGTCCCCTCTCTTATTCTTTCTCTGTCTGTCTGTCTCTCTTCTTCTGTGACGCGTGTGTGTGTGTGTGTGTGTGTGTGTGTGTGTGTGTGTGTGTGTGTGTGTGTGTGTGTGTGTGTGTGTGTGTGCATCTTTATCTGCAGATGGCCAAGTACAGGAGAAGTGCCTGACCAGTCAGACTCTAACCTATAGCTCTAAATCCTTAATCTAATCCCTACCCAGTCTCGGTCAACAGAGCACGTTAGTAAATCAGTCGATGTGCCTAATCCTACATCGCCACGGTCTGATTACACGGCAGTCTTCAGCTCTTGTTCTGATTTCTTTGACAATTAATCACTTACCCCTTAGACATGGAACCACAACTGAGGTTTTCACCAGCTGTCTCTTATGAAAACACATTTTGTGCCTATTGCATAATTATTTTTGTTGTGTTATCATATTAGCTGTGTATCAAATTCAGCTGAATTTGGGGTGTAGGATATGGTGACATAACAGTGTTCTCCTAGAAAACTAGCCTGGTACAGCCTGAAGGCATCTCTGTAGAATACTGTAGGGATCCATTTAAATTATTCATGCTTCATCCTTGGGCCACAATCTTTATCAAACATAACAGAGCCGGTACCTTGGGATTACTGTAAAAGTGTTATATGTGTGTATTCAAGCCCTTGTTTATCATTTTCACAGATAATAACTGACAAACTCCCACAGTGCTCTGGCATTGATCCAGTGTTGACAATAAGTTATGTTAAAGGAGGAATCAATTGATTTTACACATGGCGGTCAGGTTACCTGTCATGTGGAGAACTACTCAGCCTGTGCAAACAGCTGTACGATGTCTTCAGTGGCTCTGGAGGAGATGGTGATGTCAAAGGGTTATCAACCCCTTGGGCTTGGAGACGATTTATTAATGGAAAGCCTGCGTTAGGGTTAACAATAATTCAACATTTCTTGCCAAGAGTTAGATGAGAATATTGTTAGCACTGTCCTATCTGCCCCAATATGTAGCTGCCTGCAGCAACATTTAAGAGGATCTGTTCATTGGTTTTATTTAGTGTATAATCACCTAGAAATAAGAATTTGTGTTTTTGTTACCTTAGAATGAGCTGCTCTTATCTACAGAGGAAGCAGGTCCTCTCCTACAGAGTCCGCTATGTAGAAGGCCAGAATGGACACACCAAACATCGGCTCTACATAGGGTCTTTTGTGCCCTTTTGTGAATCTCGCAGGCAACGTAGTTTCTCCTTCGCGTGGTTGAGTCAAAGGGTTTCAGTCTGCACCATCACCATTATGTGCCACTAACTCCTACACAGTGGACTTAGCACAAAGACTGGAAATTGGGGGAAATGGCTGTCCAAAGGTTACAAAATTAACCAACCAGCACCTATGAAGCTCACTAACTAATGCATTATATCTAGTTTGTTTAATCTACACAAAATCGTGTAAAAAGGACAAGTTGTGGCTTTACGGGAGGGTTATGGATCTGACTCTAATTTCTTGGAGTCTCCACTGGTGACAACAAGACTTTAGGAATTTACTGCTATTGGCCAAGAGATATTCTGCCCTCAAAGGGAACTCATGAGTTTGTGGTTAAGACATGGCAAGTTACATGCAAACTCTGAGCCTTCAGAAAATTTCCACTTTGGAGGTTGTGAATACCACAAGAATGTTCATATGGACTCTTCTCATTAAGACAATAAGATCTGATAAAAGCACATAATTGAGTTGAATTATCAGATGTGTTGCATCAAGTGTTTGTAGGTAGGGAGGCACGCTTAATTATCAGGACCGATAAACGATTTATAGGCTTTAGGCTCTATGCTCAGTGTGTCTGAATGAACTTTACTTTACCTTACCAACAGTGATGTCAGCTAGATTGGGTTAGAAACATTAAAAAATCAATTTTTGCTAACTACATTTCAGCCTTTCTTACCTTCAGGAGGGCATAAACTAGAGGTTATAAGCCAGTAATTATCGGTTATCGGAAAAAAATCCACATCTTGAATCCCTAATTTTAGAGCTTCACCCAGGATTGGGACTAAAAATCAATAATTCTTTGTTTAATGTACGAGTGACCCAACTTTATGGATGTGCAATACTCAATTGCTGGATTGCCTCTTTAATGCCTTTTTGTGTCCCACTGACAGGGAGGCATTCACTGACCAGGGGCCATCATCACCACAACCAATCATCTATCAACAAGGAGGCCATGAGCACCAGGATGGTACTCAGTGATGACTCGGCAGAGAGGGAGCACTTGATTGGAGCGGGGCTCGGGATCGGGGCTAAACTCCCACTCAGCTCCACCAAACATCACCATTCTCATAACAAGCACGCCCACCTAGACTTCGTAGAAGAGGACCCACCTGTTGGAGAGGAGCTCACTGCCGGAGGGGCGGGTCCAGACCAGCCCGGAAACTCCTTGTCTGATGACGTCATCACCGTGGAGTTTCACAGCCCTGCACCAGATATTGAGCCCTCTGATGTTGCTCTAGATTGGGCCAAAGCTCCAAAACCTCAGAAGCAAAAAGGTGGAGACCCTACTGCATGGACGCTTTCTGACTTTTACGACTACCTGTCCCCTGATGACGACCTCTCGGCGTTAGATGCTACCCCAGAACCTGAGCCTACCCCTTCACCCCCGGCCGACATGGAGGACGAGAATCCGCTCCTGGCTGGTTCTCCTGCTGTTCCTGACAGTGTGAGGCCCGACGTGGATAGCGGGCCCTCCTTAACAGCTCCTCCCATGCCAGGCCTGGAAAAGGGTGATGGGTTAGGGTTAGGTGGTGCCATGGGGTCTGATGGCTGCAGGCTGGGCTTTGTGCGCTCTGGTCCTGGGGTTTGTGTGTCTCAGTGTGACACTGAACCCAATTTCTGCTTCAATGGAGGAGTGTGTACCGTGGTGGCAGGGATGGGAGCCTTCTGTAGGTGAGAAAAATACAAACACACTGGCTGATTTGTTGTCCTTGGGTAAATTGTAAGGAGATTACAGTCTTCCCTTTTCCATCTTAGTATGTTTAGTAGAGTTTACAAGACGTTTTAGAGAAAAACTGGTGCACATGCATATGTACAGCATGAATGTGGCAGCAGGGGGTTTGGGGGGGTGTTAGGCACTAAAACATTACCCTATTTAATTTGTCTTGTTGGGATGATTTCCAATATGTTCCCTCTCCAACACAAAGGAAAGATTTAGGACACTTACATACAAGCGTACAGACACTGAAAACACTGGCACGCACATAGATAGAAGGTTGGCTTAATGTGTCATGAGGGTTGGTCAGGATCACAGCAGGGTCGCCAAAGGATTAGCTCAGTTTTGGGGGCAGGGGGTGTGTGTGTGTGTGTGTGCTCATAGGCTGGTGACAGCTGATGAAGACACACACACACACACACACACTGTGCACACATATAAGGAAGATGACAATACAGTAAGGTCAGGGAGGGAAACACGTGTAAATAAACATGCACACTCCTCGTGCACGTACACAACACCACGCCTTGATAGCACCATCTGTCCTATCCAGCAGCCTCGGTGTAAGCTTGGAGGTAAACTGTTGCTCATCTCACCATACCTGCTGAGTAACAGCACACACACACACACACCCGTACCCACACTCATGCCAGGCACACTTCAAACAAATGTTCAAACACTTGCATGCAATTGCACAGAGAAAGACAGGAATATGGAAAAGACACACACACACACACACACACACACACACACACACACATGCATGCACGTGTCCTGATCCTTTGATCTCATTAAAGGCTAGGCTGCAGGCCGAATCCCTGCTTTGCTGGACAGACCTCAGGGCACCATGTCATTAGCTCTGAGTACCACTTTACACTCTCTACTCTGGCTTACATGCTGTAGCTATGAATGTGGTAAATAGCTAGTACACTGGGAACACACTCATATCAAACCTCTTGGCGTCAGGTCAGGAGAGAGGAACATAGATGCTTAGCGATGTTTTCTGACCACAAAAACGACAGGCTCCAAGTGTTACACTGATCAAAAAGGTCCATACTGCCTCTTTGTGTCACTGTGCATCCAGGTGCAATGTGCAGGACTACATCTGGAACAAGGGCACGCGTTGTGATTGGGCGGTCACAGAGTTCCAGGTGATGTGCGTGGTGGTGGGCGTGTCCTCCCTGGTGCTCATCCTCCTCTTCATGATCATCGTATTCTTTGCTAAGAGGCTGCACCGCCTCAAGAATGAGAACAAGCGCCTTCGCAAACGCAGGTGTGTGTATATGTGTGACTGCGAGGTGAGGATGTAAAAATATGTGTTGTGAGTCACACAAGGTGGTGGGAGCCGAGGGGGTCGGCTCCGACTATGCCTGTGTCAGACTAATTCCTGACTTAACAGCCTGACGACTGATAAATCAAATGATAAAGACAGCACAGGGACAGCAAGAGAGAAAGTGAGGGAGAGAGTGGAGCTAAATGGTGATGAAGAGTAGTGTGGAACAAGCAGTGAACAGAGATATAAATCCATCTACTTAAATCAAATTAGATTTTATAGACACCAGCCGCAATGTCGTTAGAGTTGATCTAATTCCCTTTAGTATCCACTGGATTATTTATGTTCTTAGACTGTGATGATACTTTTCCGTGTGCGATGTGTGTGTGTCTACCAGATGCCTTAACCCCTAGTTTCACACTGTGCAGAGCTATGTAGGAAAATGTGGACCTGGAGAGATACAAATGCACAGAATGCTAAAAAAAAAAAAAGCAAATATTTATCACACAAATCTGTCTCTCTTTGCTCTCCTGCTGCCCCCCTGCAGTAAGTACCGCCCACAGAGCAGCGAGCCACAGACGGATGGCCTCTCAGTTTCCACAACAGCCGACGGCTCGCAGCCAAATGTAAGGAAACTGTGTGACACCCCTCCGCCCGCTCCCCAAGCTCACACTCACAACCTGGCGTACTATGACAACATTATCTGTCAGGTACGCCCCAACTCTCCTCATGTTTACTATCCCTTTTCTCTCCTTCCAGTCACCTTCGTCAAACTCTTTCTGTCCAATAATCTGCAACTACGAATTCCTTTCTCTTTGTCTGTCTGTTATAACGTCCACTTATTGTCCTCTTTGTTCACAATGTCTCTTCCAGCTTAGTGATTTGATTCTTGCATCAGTCTTGGTCTGACTTTCTTTCCATTTCTGTGCATGTCCCTGTCCTAAAACCCAACTACTAACTTAAGTTTCTAGTGTAGTGCACACATATAACTCACCTTGGTGCTCTATTAAATCAATAACCGCTCACCACCTGCAGCTTGAATGTACAGTATGTGTGTTTTTAACACTTCTCACACTCACTGATCCCCTCAGAGGCCATCAACAACCAGCTATACCTGGGAATATAAACCCAGAAACCCTTATAACCACTTCCAGGTAAGCAGAGCGGAAACATCCACATTGCCTGCAGCAGTTTCCTTCCCTGCCTTTGCTTTGAATTTACCCACTGTGCAACTGCTAGATGCCAGATTCTGGCTCTCCTTTTTGCTGCAAACCTCACTTCCACAGACTCTTCCTGCATCTGATCTTGTATCAGCTGTGTACCACGTATGCTGTAGGTGAAATGATTAATCGCCCCCCAGCAAGGCATCCTGCAGCCAGTTGTTCAGGGGTGTTATGTAGTCGCTGCTGTGTGAATAAATAGCAAGTTCCCACATTTGCTGCCTCTCTTACCTGTGCCTCTGCAGCTTCCTGAGAAGCTCAATGAGGAAACCGAGCCTCCATTTTGCTTCAACTGCTCGCTTCGCTCTTGTGCCCATAAAGCTCAGACGGCCATTTTAGGGTCCCTCTGCAGCAGGCTTACCCTTTTCTACCCTGTTCTCTTCCAAAGGTTGTGCATGTAGTGCTCCTATAAAGTTCATTTTATTCTGCAGCAGCATGTGTGTGTCTGTGAATATGAATGTGTATGCATTGATGCATTCCTTTATATCAGTGTTTGTGTGTGTGTGTGTGTGGGGGGGGTTGCCTTTGCAGGCAGAATTATATGTGCCCCTGTTTGGTATTCATCAATCATACTCGCCTATTGGGTTACTAAGCCAACACGGTATATAAGGTTACTGATGCATGATTAAAATTTTGATGTCAATAAACAATGGAGAATCTTGTTGACAGAGGTAGCTATAAACAGAGATTAACTATAGACTGTTTATAAAGTCTATGAGATCGACTGAACAAAAGCATTTGCTCCCACAACTTTACGCTTTTCGAACTTGTTGTCAGTGTTGTGAAAGGGCGTTTAGCGAGTTTTGTCCAGCAGTAGCCAGAGTGACTGATCGATGGTGGCCTACTTCATGCCTGCTGTGCCTATGACCTTCGTATGTCTGTGATAAGCCAATCAATTGATGGCTTGGACATTTACAAACTGACATATATACATTCCTAGTCGCACAAACACAGCTCTCTCAGTGATAATTGGGCATTAATTTATTGCATTTATCACAACGTGCTGCGAACACAAGCACACACTGTTTTCAAAATCATATATTCATTTTCACTCCATTCCCCATTCTTGGCTGGGCTAAATCAGGTAAACAAATTGCGACTTGCTTTTTTAATATAAGCCACCATTCTCAGAGCTCTGCTGGCATTTCAGTGCAGTGGTTATAGATGAGTGACTGTGACATGCGGATGCTCTAAATGTCAGATCTGGAGGCTAAAAAGCCCCTGCTGACACATAGCCTGCAATGCAGTTTTTGAAAGGTCAGAGGTCAGATTGGTGTAAATGTTGAGGCATATAAGCATAGCAGTCCAGTATCCGTCAGTACAGTGACCTGCATCAGTTCAAGAATGATCCTCTCTAACATGCTGAAAAGCTCTCTGGGAGATTTTGCTATAGATATAACTGAACTGCCTGTTTTTAATCTTATTTCTTTTACTTTAGTTTGCACTTTTAACCAGTCAAAAGTACTTGGAAATTTGGTATGACCAATTCATTTACTGTTCCCCTATTATCTAGGAAGGGGTCGGACTCCCACATTCTTTTTCAGTACACTTGGAGTCGCCAGCCTCTTGTAATGCCACAGAAGTTCATGCAGTGCTTCTATTTTGTTCATTTTTTGTCGTATTTGCCATAACACAACTATTCCAGTGAATTGGACCTGTCAAGAAACGCTACCCAATCGCTTCAGTTGATATAAAATACAAATTTAATAAAGATACAATTCAAGATAGGAATGCTATTAGTTCACAAGGGAGCTTGAACATATGCAGAAAAGCATTTAAAGCTCTGCACAGACTTTCCTGCAAGTGCGCACACATCCACGAGGCGCAGATGCACTTTAAGGGTGTATCTACATACCTATGTTTTGTGTGTGTGTGTGTGTGTGTGTGTGTGTGTGTGTATCAGTATGTTTGTATGTGTAAGGGCCAGGAATGTATAAAAAGTCAGAAAATCTCCCCACAGGATGAGCCTCAGAAGCAGCTGGAGGACCCAGCAAAGTCCCCGCAACCCAAGGAAGAGGGCTCAATGAACATCCTCAACTCCCATTCACCCAAACACGAGAACAACCGCCCAACCTCTGTCGTCCATGACCAAGCCCACACCCCTAACAACACAGAGGAAAATGCTGAGGTAAACACGCTCCAGAACAACCTGGTATAATATCACCATCTGGCAAAGTGTGCTGCTGGAGAATCAGACCAAAATATTTCATGCTCACACAAACAACAACAAATCGTTATAGGCTAACATTGTTTACAACTTGCAAATGCACACTGTGTATTTTAAACAGTCCAATCAGGCCTAATCTCAGAAGTAAGCACAACATGAATTGAAGGATAAAACCTGAGAAGCACAATAGTCCTGTTTACAAGGCTGCCATGCCAATGCTGATCACATAGTGGCACCGCTGCCTCCTTTCCTTCCTCTATCCGCATCTTGCTGGACTAAAATCTCTGGCTTGGACCAACTAATGACTGACTTTCCTCTCTACTGATGCCCTGCCTTGGTCTTTGGCCAATGAACTCTCGCCCCTTCATTGTCTGCTCTCCTGTTTCCCCCCAAAACCCTCCCCTCACCTCTGCCTGCCCCGCCTTACTGTCTCTCTCTGCCCGCATGCATTGGTGTTATCAACAAAAAAGTGTCTGAAAACGTTATATTTGCAAAAGAAGTAAGTGGAAATCAAGTGAATCTGTATTTGCGAAATATTCATGTTTGACATTGCTAATAAGTGGATATGTCTAGATTACTTGAGGTCAAAGTAACTGCTTGGAGTTGATATTTGAATCTATATACATATATTACACACGCTGTGTCTTGGTTTTCAATGTGATTTATAATACTTTAATGTACTTGAGGTTCTTTTGTACTTTTTTGGGTATACATGGAGGATTATAGTTCACAGTTGTTGGAATAAATCTTTTTAATTTTATCCAGCTTGTCCCTGTGTGTTGCTATGAGCTCTACTTTCCTTCCAGCCTTTCTGTCTCTCTCTTTCCTTCTCTGCATGTCTGCTAGTGACGAAGCTAACTACTGCCCAACTGCTCCCATGCTAATAATAACTGAATGCACGGCTGACCCTGCTTTTATGCTACAGTAGGCTGCTCACAGATTACACCACACAAACAATGGTGACTGCGTGCCTATTCAGCACCGCGGACAGCTCTCCAACATGAATGCTGCAAGAGTAACAGTATTTTAAATTAGAATTTATAAAGTCTATGCCTCTCTAGTCTTTATGAATAAGACAATTATTTGTATTCCTTTGTCTTTTTTTCAAGGCAGTATTTGTTTTGTTGCACAAACCCAATTCCACCTTTAATCTTTACTGTAATGCTCGTTGATGATCATTTCTATTCAAACGCACCCATCTGGCGAATTATGAATTATGACTTTTTAATTTTATATTCTGAAACATCTATTTATTATTTGTTGTCCTGTTTAATTTCTCCATGGCTATTGTTGAACATGCGTACTTATCATCTGTCCTGCAGCCATGGATGGATTAATGAATGGGCCTACCGGGCACAGGTCCAAAGGGGTTACTGTTATTATCATATCTTTTTGGAAAGTCATAGACCGCCATCACATTTGTTTATCCTGATTTTCCTGATATTAAAATATGTAGCTCTTCTATATAACTGGTATTACAGAATTACCTCTGCTATACTATTTTTGTATGATGATCAGAACCTTAGAGTTATGGTCAAAGCGACTATAATCAATATTGTTGTAATAACAATGAATCACATGTCAATCTAATTGCATTTTTCAGCTCATTGGTTTGGTTTTCCAGCCCCAACTTTACTGTTTTGGTTCACTCTCCATGCTCTCTAAAAACCCACCATTTGCTACCTACCCAGCACCATTAACTGATGAACATAATGAAGCATTTAGCAGCTAAAGAGACAGATATTTCCCTCAGGAGTTGGTGGATTTAAGATAAAGTGTCTGTGCCCAGGAGCCCAATTCATCCATGCCTGTATTTCTTTACATATTTTTATTTTTGATTAGATTTTTTGCCTCTGTGACTGTCCCTACATTGTTGCATCCCTCTCTACTTACCATATTTCCACATCAGGATGGAGTCACTATTGGCCTGGAAGTGCTCCTCCCCAAAGACGCCAAGCACCACACAGAGACCAGTTCACCCCTTCAGTATGACGTCTTCCTCTACAAGGTTGCCAACAATGGAGACTCTGCCTCTCCCAGCAAAGCCCCTCCCACTCACAGCACCAACTCTTACTCCTCCTCTCATCCCATGCCCAAATCACCCAAAACACCTAAGACACCCAAGTCATCCAAGGTGCCTAAGTCACCCAAACACGCCAAGGAACACCTACCCAGTCACCGTGAACCCTTATCTGGGAGGCATTCCTCACCTGGTCGCCACCCATCACCCGGTCGCCACCCATCACCCGGTCGCCACCCATCACCCAGTCGCCACCCATCACCCGGTCGCCACCCATCACCCGGTCGCCACCCATCACCCGGTCGCCACTCTGCGCCTGGAAGCTATTCTTCCCCCATTTGCCATCCATCATCCCACCACTCTCCCTCCCAGTACAAATGCATACCAACCTCCCCCTCCACCCCGCCTCAGTTACGCCGGCCCAGAGGTCGGTCGCAAGCTTCCAGCTCAGTGTGCTCAGGGACTGGGAGAGAGTACCAGAGTGCACACCTTCGTCCATCCCCCTCATCCCCTCACCTCACCCAGCCACCTCCATCACCTTCTAGGATGAAGTACAGCCCAGTCAGCACCCGGTCCCTGCCACCACTCTCCTGACCAGGCCTCCACCAAGCCTGGTGTCCATACATTGAAATCTTTCATAATCTAATCAATCCAGCAATCTGTGCTCTAACCCTTTTATTACTGATATATAGATCATTTATCCATCCATCTATCACCCATCTTTGCACCCCGCCTTCCCACATTTATACCCAGATGACAAGCACACCACCTGGTCTTGGTCCATGGAGCCAGAAAACTAGAACTGGGACAGCTCTGCATACACCACACTCTCTCTAACTCAGACATGGATGCACCAAAATGCACGCATAAAACACTGCATAGTCACTGCAGCCAAACAATCACACCTTGGTAAATAACAACCTCTCAAAGCTCAGGTTACTGCTCACACAAGCACAAAATGAACCGCTAAACGTGAACACGCTCTCCTAGCACGGTGCCAACGTCAGCGTCTGCTGAGGATATAGTTCATAAAGGTTTCGTAGAGGTTTACTACATTAGCGTTAGTGTTATCAATGGTTTATATAAATCTTTTGCTATTCAGTGTGTGTAAGATTATTTCATGTTTTCACAGGCTTTTTTGGTATGTTTTTCATGTTTCTAATCCTCAATAAATAGATAACACAACAAAGCGTGCAGTATTGTGTTCTAAAGATGGAGAGAGCTGGGAGGAACAAAGCAAGCAAAGACTAATGGAGACAGGAGGCAAAGAGAGGAGACAGAGGATTTTTTTACTCTTGCCAAGCTGCATGTTAAAAAATTGGAGGAACTCTGCTACCCTCTTGTGGACACAGCTCCAGGTACATTTCAGCTTGGGAACAATCAGTGGGGTGATATGTAAATGAGTAAATCATGCCAGCCCCTTTGCAAATTTTGACCTTTTGAAATGGCCTTTCTGTTCTGATCTATCTGTCTACAGTATGAACGACAGTGTGTGAGTGATGTGCCCCCATATTTATGAATGTACATTACTGGCCACAGCCTATCTAACGCCAGACTTTGTTATGTCTTTATGTGTATGCTTAAGAGCGGCCACTGTGGCCACAAATGACACTTAGGGGCAATGTTAAATGCTAAAGTGTAACGGTAACACAAGTAGAGAATAGTCATAAAGTTGATCTGACTCAGTGATCTGATTACATAGCATATGTATCTAAACATTAGCCACCATAAGCTTTTTTAATTTCTTATAAATAGAGCTTTTCATTCATTAGGAGAAGAATGTGTTATTTCTTCTTCCAAAAATTATAAGCTCTTGCTTTAAAGGGTAACTAAAATCATGATTAGCTATCCCTTTTGCTGTCAAAATTTGTGTCAAACACATTTTCTAATTTATTTATTATTTATTTATTTATAGTTTATAGTTTTATGTAATTATATGGAAAGAAAGAAAAGTTGTTCTGGAAATATGAGAATGACTTACTTTTCTCTTCTCTTCTCTTCCATGAAAAGGTGTGTTGGTGTGATTGATTGACAGCCGAGTTGCAGGCTTTGTTTTTATTTATTCAGTCTATATTTTGGTCCCTAATTTCACAAGCTATGATGCAGCCAGGACGTGTTAATGTTTGTAGGTTTGATAAAAAAGGAGTTTCGTATCATTATAGCTTAAAGTAATGCATTATTTTCCGTAATAATATAGAATAACTGAAAGTAACAAAATTATAGACAAATAAAACTGATAATAACATTTAGAATTTTTGGTATACATTGTACAAAATATAAAAGACATCTTTAATTTCTGTCTACATCTTTATTTACATGAGGAAAAAGAGGGGCATTGTGGTAAAAATCCTTTCTATTGTGCAACAGACAGAATGTTATTTCATCCAGATGGTCAAAAGAGTCTTTGAAGATTTTGGCAATACCTTCAGAACAGCAGTAAGTGTTATGAAATGACCCTCTGTGGCCCTATCATGAACACAACACATAAGATTTTGACCTTTTATGTTCAGATTTTTTCTCAATCGAGAACATATTATTTAACTAGTAGACGTGTGCTGACAAAAACATGCAATTAAATTTAGTTGGACTTGAAAAAAACATAGTTAAAACAGACCCACCACATTATTTATTTAGTCGGTATTCATCCAGTTGAGACAGAGAATGGCCGTGTTATTCCCTCTATATGCTGAGTTTCTCCTGCACTTTTTCCTCATGTGGTTAATGTATTAATTATAATATGAGGGTAGTGCGTCAATCCCCTTTGGTGTTGAGGACATGAATCTGCTCATCTCTGGCAGCAGGCACTTCTGTTTCTTAAGGCAATTCAAATTAAACATCTAACATATTTCCCACAATGTGACCGCGTAGGTTAACAGCTGTAGGCCGCAGTGGCTCGGCTCTTTTGTTCTCTGGCTTTTTCCTGGATGAAAAGCACCTTCTCGTTACAGATGGATTAGGTGAAGGTGAAGTTATCCTTCCAGCTGCTCTCATTCATCAGAAATAGGCTGTGTTTACATGAAAAGAGTAATTGACAGGTTTTAGAGTGGAGTGTCTGTATCTCTGAAGAGCTCTCCTGTCCTGCTCCACCTGCGAGGTGCTTACAGTGTGTCCTCAGTGTGTCCTCAGTTGTCAGGGTTTTTTTAGCTGTTGAAGCACTGAGAAATGCCCCAGCAGATTTTCTACAAGGACACCGAGGAGATCAGTGGTCTTAATAAAATCTCAGTTTGGAGTGACCCTGAAACTAAAATACACTTCACTTGGAATTATAACTATGTTTTTGTACATGGTGGTGCTACATGGATACAGGAGAACATTTAATTTAACAGTTTACTTATAATGTAGCTGGAATCAAAAACATTATACACATCTGTGGGTCTATAGATGTCCAGCCCCTCATTTAAATCCATGCATACTCATGTAAGACAAAAGACATAGCATTATACATTTTGGAGCACGGCAAAGGTGAATAACTATTGAAAAAACGAACCTAAACACAACCTGAAAATCTTTTTTGCTGACTTCCGATGGTTTAACGTCTTCACTTTGCTGCAGTGATGTAGAAGTGTATTCCAGGATGTATTAGGTGTGGTTACAAATGCAAAAGAGAGGACACTTCTGACCACACCCAACCATACACAATAAACAGAGAGGGCCTCCATGTTGTGTTGAAGCACAAACGAAGAAAACAAAGTGAGAAGAGTGAAAGAACCATTAAGATAAACTTGAAAAAAAAAAACTACAAATACTAAATGACATAACACACCTAAAAGAGTTAAACATGAGTTTACCAAAAGCTATAATACTGCTTTTACTGCTCTTATGTCCACAGGTACAGAAGATGAATGGGTTGAAATACAAAACAATTACAGAATCATGAACACAGTTACAGAAGATACAACATTCTTGCTGCAAAGGCTGCCAGGCTTTTTGTCTTTCCTCACACCACACACTGTTCTACTCCTATTATCTTTGCAGGGTGTACGTTTTGGGGTCAATCTATGATGATTTCTCTGCAGGACTTGACTAGAGTGCAGGTCAAACGGGTAATCAGAGACCTTTTTCCACTATCCAGATTCTGTCCTACAAAGACATCACAGATCACAGACTGTAAGAGCATCACAGTCTGCTTGAAGACTACTTTAAAGCAACCTCTTGGAGTGTGGTCTGTGTGTCTCCTGAACAAGACCAATAAAATATTTAGAACATTGGGGAGCTCATCCACGAAAATATTAATGAAAAACGCAAGTTTGATTGTGAACTTATTACAATTTACAATGTTCACAGGTCCTTTTGAGAGCAGCTGACCTCAGAGAGACGTAATAGATCTTTTCTGTCCACATAGCCAACTTGGTTTTACTCAGAAAACCAGTGTTCTGTATGCAAAAACACACATGCTCTTCAGAAAAATACCACTTTTTTCTTCTTTGCAGCTCCTGTATAAACCACTGAGAGGCAGCGTTGCCCCAGAGTCCAGCATGCACGGCTACTGTAGATACAGATAAGACCCGCTGGCACTTTGAAACCGCTGATCTGCATCTTCATTAGCATTCACTCTGTGTCGACTGAGGGAATGTGTGCTGATTCAACATGATGCTGTGATAATTGATATTGTTATCATGTAGATATCTGGATGATCTCTGATGATCTCAGGCTTATTTAAAGCTTTGCAGGGGTTAGAGATGAGAACTGGGATACTGCACAGGTGTGTGTATGAGTGTGTGCAGGATGGATAATATGTGATGTGCAGTTAATGTTGTGCTGGGTTGATGAAATGATATGTCTGCATACTGTGTGTGTGTGTGTGTGTGTGTGTGTGTGTGTGTGTGTGTGTGTGTGTGTGTGTGTGTGTGTGTGTGTGTGTGTGTGTGTGCATGAACTACTTGAGTGCCTGTTGGCAGCTTCATTACTGCCTCTTTAAGTACGGCTATAAAGTATTTTTGCTGACCCAAAACAGATGTAATTTTCTCTCACTCGCTCCCACTCTGCCCTCCCTTCTGTCTCTAATATACCCACACATGCGCACACGCACACACACACACACACACACACACACACACACACACACACACACACACACACACGTCTCCTGAGATGCCTTGATAGCAGATGAAGATTTTTATAATTAGTGGAATACCCACATGGTACATTGAACTGACTGCATTTTCACACAAAACTCAATTTGATTTTTAATCATTTCTGACAAAGCTTTGATTCATCTGTTTGTTCACGTTCAGCAAAGACAACGTCCTTCCTAGTCTAAACTAAAACTATGATACTCCATACAATATGAATACTCGGATAGAGTTAATGTATCTCATTCAGCCTCAGTAGCTAAAATAACCCTATATTTGTTTGTTTTTCGAGTTTTAAAATGATGCTTCTTAATGTATTTTACTCTCCACAATTGTAAGAGACCCCCTACTCACTGTCTGTCTCCCTCTCTCTTTGTGTTGTTGCTTTTTTGTCTGCTCCTCTCTGGGAGTCAGGCTAAATGGCTTTCTATTCAGGAGTGAGAAATGTCATCACTTTGGGTGCGTGCGTGGGTGTGTTTGGGAGGAGAGTGTGTACTTTTTGAGAAAAACCATAAAGGGTCACTTCACCCAAATCCCAATCAAGATATCTTCCCACTTACACATACTGGTAACTAGTCATGTAAATAGCTTTGATTTTATTTGTCTTGAAACAAACAAAATTCTATGAATCTCCTTGTATTGAGATGTGACAGAAGACTGGGCAGCACATATCTCTAAATTTCAACAAGTAAAACTACGGTATATGTGCTTACCTACACACCACTATGTTTTGTATATTTATATCATTTAGGTAAATCTGGTGATATTCTGTATTTTATTATTGTAAGCAAATCCCACAAAAAGACCAAACCAACAATGATGCTGCAACAAGTATTGTAGTCTGTGTAGCCAAAGCCTGATATAGCTTATTCCTCTGGGCCGTAGAGCTCCTTTGTTCTCCAAAAACCAAGCAAATCGGTCATATCAGTGAGGCGAGGTGTCTGTGCAGAAAGAAAGACAATACCCACCCCCAGCAAAAGCCTGTTCACCCTGCAGCTGCCTGGCAAGCGATACAGAAGTATCCACTGCCCGTAACACCTGACAGGGAAGCTTCTTTTCTCAGGCTTTGAGACCCCTCAACTCATCCTCTGCACTCTACCATAAGTAGCAGGGTTGT